TGGAAATCCATAAACAAATTTCACCTTCATAAACTTAATATTTAAACAACAATTTGGTTTATTTTACCTAACCTGAAGGTTTCTTATAAAAAATATTTCTGAATTTCTTCTGATTTATACGTCAAAGTTCAATAACAATCTGGGATCAGAAGAAAAGACGATAACGACGACCTGACAACAGTTTAATTTATTTATTTGAAATCATTCCAGACATTTATCCAGAAAATTCTTTACTCATTAACAAGCAACCAATAACTTAATCTGAATCTACATTTTAATTCACAGAACGTTTTATTTTTATACAATTTTTTTTTTTTACACAGAGATCTGCCACTCAGAGGTTGATGCTCGCTCACATCACATTTGTTTAAATAACTTGTGTTTCTCTGTCAACCAATAGGATGGCTGAGTTTAAAAGAAGTGGGATCAGACAGTTTCCATGGCAACGTAGGACACTGTGTGCTGTGAGGAAGTGACGTTAGGAGGGGATGTGAAAAGTAATCAGTCACGTGATTCCTCCCAGTATGCAGATTATGGACCAATTATCAGCTAGCGAAAGTCCTGTCGTCATGGCGACAGCATCTCCTGGATAGAGCCTCAGCAGACCTTAGCATCCAGCAGCATCACCCTGAGCAGCGTCCTGGCCGCAGCGAGCAGCGCTCCGTGCAGCGTGTACTGAGTCACCAGCGCCCCGAAGCCTCTGTAGAAGCCCAGCCCGCCCTCTTTGCGGCGAATGGAGTGCAGGCAGTCGGAGAACCCGTCGTACTGCGTGTTGACGGGGAGGACCAGCGGGCTGCCGCCGCTTCCCGCTTCCACCGCTCCGTCGGTGGCGTCGATGATGGTGCGCGTCCCCTGCAGGCTGAGGCGGTGCAGCGCCGTCTCCAGAGGGAACAGAACCACGTCGGCGACCAGAGACCCCACCCACGCTGCCGCCAGCTCGGGGAAGTAGGCGTCCAGGGGGTTGGAGGGATCAAGCCGCTGCTTCCTGCTGCGCTGGTGGAACCACAGGGCCACCCGCTGGGCGCTGGCTGCCACAGCGTAGCGCAGGATGGCGTGCAGAGCCACGGGCAGCAGCAGGCAGCTGAGAGGAAGCAGACGGCGGCTGTGAGGAGCGCCAACGCCAAGGAGACGGGTCAGACCCTCACGGATACAGTCCAGCAGCCCGGAGGATGACTCATCTCGAACGATCTCGCTCTGAGGACACAGACAGTAGAGGCTCTTTAACTACCTGCTAATGATCATTTAGGGTTATGACCAGCTGCGTCAAACTGATCTGAGGGACCTTAACAACAAACTAACTTCATCTATTAATTAATCCAAGGCTGATAAACAGTTAAAATGTTATCTAATTAAAGGAAAAGTCGCTCATATTCACAAT